CCATGCACTAACTTCCCATGCAACAATCACTAGTTATTTTAGTGGGTTACAGCTGTATGACCATAAAAATCATTTCCACATACTGTTGAGGAACTTCAAAAGCAACTAACAAGTCTGAAATCAATCTCTCTTCTCTTAAAAGTTTTACATAGCAAAACGTTGTAACAACTGCATAAAGTATTTTATATTAACAATAGAGAGGAGTTCAGACTGTAAAGCTGCTCTAGGCTATGATTCATTCATGGCTCTCTGCCAAAAAAATAAATACATTCAAGACCAATGGCCTCAAGGGGAAAGGTAGGCCACTTTTTAAAAAGCACAGAGATAAATGATTTACAGAACAGAATACAGTTTAAGATTTCAGCCTATATGGATGAGGAGGAAGGACTTTCTTACGTCTCACAAAGATTTACTGCACAGACTTGAATGCTGGCAATGTATCAACAGATGGAGTAAACCAGGAACTATTAAACTGGGATTTGCAAAACTCTCTCCAAAGAGCAAGAAATGACCCATTATATTGCTATACACAAAGAAAGTTCATAAAGCCAAATCAAGATATGCAATGGGTATTTCAGCCACGTAAGACAAACACGGCCAGCTCAGATTACAGGCAAACTCTGCAGCAAAGTAACACCTGTAAAGTGAGACACCAATCCACTGGCAGCATGACAAACAGTTTAAAGGCTGGGAGGGTTTGACGCCATACAGCATCTGCTGCACATAAAAATGTTTAATTAGCTGCTAAACAGCAAGCAGTACATTCCTATTTTTTCTACGAGAACATTATTTCTTGAATAAATGCCCTTGCTTAGCTAGGAAGGTTCAGAACGAAGATGGCCATTTCACTACGGGAGCTGAGGCCAACTCATTCTCGCACATCAGACTGACTTGTAATTGACTTCCAGTGTTTTGAACCACCGTTTCAGTAGCAAGCACCCTCTGAAACACCAATATCACTTCTAAATGTGTCTTTCTTTAATATTCAGAACACTATCTTTAACTGTATTGATAATGGCTTTTAAAAGAAAGCTGCTCTTTTAAATGCTTCCCTAGAGTTACAACTGCATTTCATCATTTAAAAAATTCTAGATTTAACTGCTGCTCATCCCCAAACTTAGCAGTGGGGAGAAACTGAAGAGAAGAGAAACACTGAGCCTCTTAGCATGCAAGATATCCTCATAGGATATCCTATTTAAAGTTCTGGTACACACACATCTCCAAGGTACCCTCTCTCAGTAAAAGGGAAAACAGCCACAACCTCAAGGTAACAAATAAAAACCACCACAGGGAATAAGCTGTTAGAATCCAGCTTTCACTTATGCTGCAGCCATGTCCCAGGAGGAGATCAGCAGTATCCAACTGTCCTGAGACATCACAGACTCTTTTTGCTTTTTTTTTTTTTACTTGTGTAGATTCAAGCCCAAGCTATATGTTGCCATTAGTCTCAAAAAAGAATTACGTACCTACTCAACAACAGTAGTAATGTATGCATTTTAAGTCAAGCATGTGATTAAATGCTCTGCTAGTCAGAATTCTCAACCAGATGTTGGGCAATCTTGTAACACATGATCTCTCTCAACCAGTGCTTGAAGCAGTTATAATTTAGGAGCCAGTGGTTTCACATCCTGTGGTGCTGTTGTTTAACTAGGTTTAAAAAGCCCCATCCTCACCTTTTTGTAAACAAAAAAAAAAGTACAGGTTGGTCAGGATAGTTTTGTTCAATGATATTACTTCCCAGTAGGGCTCATGATGTAAACTTCACTTAGCTGCACCATTACAGGAGGAAGGAAAGAGCTCCTTAAATGGCAAGAGCGTCTAGTTTTGCCACTGCCTACTTTTCTTTTTAATTTGGTCATATTGCTTATTCTGTGGATAAGTTTTTGCTCCATCTGTGCACCACAGATGTCCATTTTTTTTTTTCCCTTTCAGCTCATACATTTGTATACAGCACCTAGGAAAGCCTGCATCCTTGAGGGAATTATGGAAATTACAAAAATGCAATAGTTACATTTTCATTTACAGACATAAAAAGGAGATAAATGAGGCAAAATTTGGAACAAAATTTTAGTTGTTCGCCTTAATTATCTGGTAATGTATTCAGTGCATGGGATAGTTTTCTAACAATCCAGTGTGCAGCAACTGACGTTTTTTAAAAACAAAAACAACTATTTTTCTGCTTACAGTATTCCTTTTCCAAAAGTTGACTACAGGAAGAGAATTTACACACACAGAGAAAAATACAATTTCACTAAGAGTGATCTTGCTGAATTTGTTGAGGACAAATCCTCACCAGTGGTGAGCATCCTCTCCTTTAGAAGGAGTTAAGACTCACTTAGGGCCTTTCCCACACAGCCTTGAAAGAAAATAAACACAACTACAAAAGAAAGCCCAGAACATAGAAGATTCAGTTACATTAAAAATAAATAAATAAATAAATCAAGCAATCATTCTGCTAACTACTCATGCAGACGGTTCTTTTCGAACTTGTCCTGTTTCCTACATGGAGTTGATACATTATGGGCTGTCAATTTCCATTTCCAAGTTTTTTTTGTATCCTAAGACTTTCACAGATGAGGACTTTTCCCCCCCCCTCCAAATAAGACAGTGAACCCTACTAAAAATTTACTAACACCAAGCTGCTGGTGTAAAACTCAGTTTTGTTCATGCTCCTGCCCAGATGCAGTTTCCCTACTTTTTTCCCTACAGTATACTTCGTTTGGGACAAAAAGTAAAAGCTGTTACTTCATTAGATGACTAACCCAGGCAGTTCTGCCAGCACTGCACTTCTTACCTGGTAACTATTTCATTCAAAAGGTCATGACTCCATCCTGAATCTTTTCTCGTGCTGTTCATTTGTCCAAAAGCCTTGTATCTGTCGAGGTCTGTTTCTACCACTGGGATCAGTATTCTCTGTTCTTAAGAATTTTCCACTGAGCATACCTAAGTAAGTCAACATCTGATTTCAGATTTCTTTTTACTAGAGCTTATGCTGAAATGTAAAAAATTGTATGGCTATTTCAAGTCTTCACTACATATGAATTTAATTTTAAGGTGGATAGAAGTCTTTTGTACAAAGTATACCCTAGATTATCCAGAAAGGAACCTCTTCGTGCAAACAAAAAAATCCAGCCAAACCCCAAGGTTAATTTAATTTAAGCAGTGGCTTAAATTCTCTAGCTCCGTTTCTTATAATATAAACTTTTCAAATCAGGGACTTTGGCCTCTTACTAAAGGGCACAGAGAATGCCAGTACCATACATACAAACATTCTCTAGCTTAAGTCACTTCTTTTGCAGAATATGCCACCATTAAATGGATAGTCAGCCTCCTAATATCAGAAAAGGGACATGTGAGAGGATTTGTTTTACAAATTCTAGATCTATCATCAACAGATAATGCAAAGTGTTACGAATCTGCCCCTATGACCTTAGAAAGTTACTATTTCACAGTAATAATATTTTCCAAGACAAGGGGGGGGGGAGGAAAAAGAGGGACACACATTTATTTCCTGACTCTTGATTCAAACTTTACCACTTTAAACTCAAATATTTTAAAATAATCAATATTTAAACGTTCCCCTGTGATTAAATTAAGCCTGAACGAGTCATATTACATACAATAATATATCCCCTGTCTTCCTTCTTAAATTTATGCTTTGAACTGCTCCCTGGAAACAGTTAGCACCCAATTTCATTCCAGTAATTTTTTTTTTAAGTGAGATCACTAAATCAAATGTAGCTTGAGAGACGGCCCTACTGATCACATAATATACAAGGAAAAAAAAAACATGCTAATCAGGAAAGATAGATTTTATTTCCATTTTTTTACCTTTAAATTATTTTTATCATTGACACTCTCACAAATAAAATAATGTGTTCTCTCAAATTCTTTCTATTAAGAAAAACATCCAAAATTAGCAAATCCACCTGACTCACGTGAAAAATGTTCTGTTTACAACAGATGCTCCGAATCGATTGCGTCACACATGAATATGGTCAGAAAAGTCCATTCTTTAATGGCATGATTAATGTAACGTGTTATGTAAAGGTTCAGTTTTCTTTAGTTTAGCTAATTTAATTAAGCAAAGGAGAACAAGTTTTATCTTTCTGGATAGTATTTTCAGGAAAAAAAATAATAATCAAAGAATCAAACAATAGGTACTTGTGTTCATAAAATTCCCAACTTTAAAGCATTTAGATAGACTCTTCTGCCAAACAACACACATTTCATAGATCTGCACAAGTAGGTCCTGAAGGTCAGTGAAAGTATGACTTACTTTCCAACTATGACACTTTTGACAATGCTTACCTATGAGTTGGGCAGTTGTCATCTCAGTCTCATGAAAGGAACATACAAGTTTTATGAAAGGATCTGATACCTGACAAGCTTCTCATTTCAAACACTCTTTTTTTTTCCAGACTGAAAGTCATTGTCAAAATTTTTGGATTCGGATCATCATACATCTGAGAAAAAAATTACTTTTCATAAAGTCTACCGTGCAGAAGCACCCAGTAAGCATCTTCAGAAGAACTTGTAAGTGCAGAAATAATGTATTTTGAGAGGACAGTTTCAAATCTATTTAAAACTCAATGGACTCTCCAGTTCCATAAGTACCTGACAGAACTAAAATGGTGACAACGAATATTTTGAAAGAGCCTGGGGGTATTTGGAAAATAAAGCTAGCAATACATAAAAATGAGTGGCTTTGATTTTTAATTCATATGTACAATCAATCCTTTTTACTCAGGGTTTCTGAAAATCTAAGCTATAGTATACAGGAAAAGTCATTTCAGTATTTACACAGTATAATTACTTTGCCCTATTACTATTGAACCCTCCCCCACTAACAAAACTTTTTATTTTAGTAGTAAAAATGGACATGTAAATTATTAGAACAGACTTCTTAAATGCACTTTAATCTTCTCAAGCAGGCAAAGCAACATCTGCAAAATATTTAGAGAAAAAGTACCATTTACCCATACACAGTATGTCAAGACTCAAGATGTCTTCCTTAACCATCCTTTTGTCATCTTATATAATTTCTTCATACTGTAAGTTACAGATTTCTTTGCCCCTAAAAAAAAAAACAACAAAAAAAACCAAAACAAATACATAAACCCCAGAAAACATCAACATTTAGAAAGGCTAACTCATATACTAGGTTCTTACTACATTAAGTAAAATATTTCCCTGGAAGAACCACCACTTCATCTGTCAGGCAGACATGCAAATAACCTTGTCACATTCATAACACAGTAAGTAATAAGACAAAAAAAATACTTTTAAGATTATCAAAGCATGCAAAATAGGATAGGTTTATTCTGAAGGCCTGACGATGTTGCATACAAGCACATACAGACAATGAGCAAGGCATAGCAAATGTAGAGATTCATGATAAAACTCTTAACCAGTACAGAGGGCAACTTCTAATTTAGATCATTGTTCCTAAATGCTAAATATAGGAAGGCTTTTAAACCATCTGTGTCTACTGCAGACCCACACCAAGCCAATACATTATGCTTTTCAAGCCCTTCCTGATCTACTGCTAGGTAGCATGTCCAGCTGAGTAGGATTGTACTCTGGCCAGGTCACCAGCAACCTGACAGACTATATTCTGCAGCAGGACACTCAAGCAGGACTATTTAGAGAAATCCAGGGTGTTAGGCATGCAGGTTAATTAGCTGGCCACATCTGTGAGAAGAATCTAGTTGTAGAAGCATTTCAGCTCTTGAGACAGGAACCCGCCACCAGATTCTATAGATAAGATGATGCCTAATCATCAAGAACCACAGCTGAGCAGCCAAATTTTACTGAAGGGATAAAGGGGAAAGAAGAGAGAGAGGCGTGAACCAGAACAAAAGAACAGTCTGCTCAAGCAAGACAAGCAAACTCTGCATGACTGGTAGACAACAAGCTTTATACTTTCAAATCCTACTTTACCAATTTCTTCTGCTAATCAGATTTTGGTTAGCCTTGCTTGATGCTGTATATCAGGTACCTGGTTGCCTTGTTGTAGGCCAATTCTACATTGAGAAGCATCACGCTAATGCTCATCTTGATTAAGTGTAATCAAACACTGCACACTACCAGCAGCTTTCCAGGACAAACCAACCCAGAGCATTGCTATTCAAAGGCTTGTGAATTAAAAATGAAAACAAGAATTGTTTGTTTCACAAGAAATGTGCTGCTGATTGTTGGGGTGGAAATCTGTTCTGGTTTCAACAAGTTGTAAAGTACATTATAACCTCCTTGAATATTTTGTTATTGCCTCATCCCAACTAATGGCAGCTACCATTTCAGAACTGAGAGAACAGCACATCTGCAAGAGGCTAAAACTGCTCGACTTGCATAATGAAATGACATTTATGCCCTCAGGTTAAAAACAGATAATACTGAAATGATGATGGGTATGGAAAACCAGATTAATAAGGCATATACCCAGGTGAACTGACAGAAGCAAAAATAATGAAATGATGACCAACAGCTATAACTTGGCAACACTGCCAATATCAGAAGTATACCATGGACACCAGTGTGAATACCCTGTCACAGGGATGTTGTCTGGACCAATTTTGCTTCAGAGTAACCTCCCTGTCACTTGTTTATAATAAACCTCATATGAAGCCAGAATAGCTGTCATACTCTAGCATCATCCTGCAGTAGCCCACAAGTACTGAACTTTGGTAAATACCATACTATTATGCTAGGCCTACAATGAAGGAAGGCATTTCTCAATTTTCATAAAGATACAGAAGGATTCTGCAGCAGTCATTGCCTCCAAGCTTTTACAAGTTTTAGATACGAAGGAATTGAGGATGACTCCCACACAATTTGTAAAGTGTATCCTTAGAGTTAAACACTTTCTGAAGTTCTACCAGAGATGAGCCTTCTCTTACAGACCTAGAGTAAAAAAAAGACACAGCCTTTTGCTGGGTTTAGTTACTTAGTATTTGCAAACTTAAAATATTGTGAGTCTTGGTCTTTCAGCGGGGTTCTGAGATCCTAGCCAGTGGAGCTACTTATTTTTCCTCCTTCCAGCTTTTTTTGATTAAAAACCACCCCAAACAAACAAAAAACCCCAACATAAAACACAAAGTAACTTTTCAGATTACAACAGAGTCTAATCACACCCTTACAAATTCAAAACTGAAAAGGCAAGTTTTTAATGCTGCACAAAAAGCTTTAATTTTCACACTTACGTGCACAGATTAAAAAATATGGTACATTATACTTACTACAATCTTTCTTATGCTTATTTAATAGAACACTGTTTACCTGACAAGATTGACTAAAAGTACACAGAAGGAATTTAGCCAAAAGTCACACAGCACGATACACCAGAACACACGGAAAGATCTTCTGGAACAAATGAGCAACTTAGAGCGAGGTTTAGCCATCGCACCACATTGGACTTGGGGGGGCTGGGGTGGGGGGTGGTATGATAATATTTGATTTTGAAAAGACTTTAGAAAGTAATCAAATGAAGATAAAATACTTTAAGTGAAAGATGCATTCAGTATCCACCAGAAGTCAAGTGAGTATGCAGTAATAAGGAAAAGTGCATGCTCTACTGCTGAAGGAATGCGATGGAGAGTAAAAAGCCTATCATAATAAACATGCTGTATATAATCAGTTTTGCACTTCTTGTGTCTCTAATTGCAATTTAAATAAACTCAATTTTACCTTTTGTAAGGAATCATCCATATGTATATTTTCAACTTACAAAACCACGTGCATCCCATATGTAAGCTCAAACTTTTCTATATTTAATAGTTTTTTGCTAAAAGCAAGCACACTAATGAAGTCACGGTGGGCATTTCTTTGCAGCATCTCAAATAACAGGTAAATAATCATGTAAATTCTGAAGCGCCTCACATATCTGCGCTAAAATTGCACACAGTGTAAGAATTCCCATTGCAGAACAAGGCCTGACTGAGCTCAGGCATAGCACATAAATGAAAGAAGTGGTTCCAATCTCCAAAGTTAAAACTATGTAACTGTACAGCTTTGAAAATTACTGTCCAGTCTCCTAGGTACTATACTTCCAGGATACAGCCCCTCGAATACTGAAATTGCTCTGCCAGAATCGATGTTGTTCTGCCATTCCAATGAAGTCAGTGTACTTCTGGAAGCGCAATATAGCATATGGCAAATCAACAGTAACACAGCTGATTACAGTCCTGCAGGACTGTAATTAACTACACTGGCACTGCAGCCTGCAAGTCAGCTTGTTCTATCAGCTTGCCAACCTACTCTGCCTCTTGCAGCAGCTCAACATGGAGATTTTTCTCCTTCATATTTTCCCCCTGCAGGAGCACTCTACTGAACTCCACCCACTACAGCCTTATGTAATAAGATGCTGACATTTCTGCCCTAGCACATCATGCTACAAAGCAAAATACAGGTTTATACATACAGCTGGTTTCTTAAAGCAGCCCTCAGGGTGATGAGTCACATCTGTAGTAAAAGTTAATGGTTGTAATTATGGCTCAGGCTTAGAATCTGAAGCAGTTGGACCACATGAAAATGTCTTTCTACTTTAGCTATGGATCTATGACTTGGTGGTTCCACCTCCCCTTTAGATTTTTCCACTATATGATACAGAACAAAGACCTAATGCACATGGAATCAAGACCACAAAATTTCAGTGTAAATATAAGTTGTATCTGGTTTTACTTAACAATCCATGTTCGGTTTTTTGGAAGTGTTAGTGTTGTAAGACAGTAATTTGGCTATAATATAAGCCTCCCAAAGTTTCCTGGTAGATATGCCTGCTGTAGTATTCTTTATTCCCTTTTGAAAAGAAAGGCTAAGGCATATACTGCTGAAGAGCTGTCATGTGGAGGCAAATAGTTATATATTGTCAGTCTATCATGCACAGACACATGCAAACTTCTTACACATATTTACAGTGAAGTGCAATGGTATGCAGTATCTGCTCAGGCAGCTGATGAAGACAGCAGTTATCACAAATCTACAGAATATTTTATATGTAAAGCTGGTCCTTATAGTTAAAAAAAAAAATTCCTTGAAGACATACTATACTAATATCCCAATTCTAAGAAAACAAATGTTATTCAGAACAGCTACAAGCATTTGTGCTAACTTAAAACTATCATGAACAATGGCTTCAGCTGATGAATTAATTCAAAGTATTTTATTTATAAGAAATTTTCAAGGCTTGCAGCATTCCTCCAGTAAGGTATAAAGAAGAAACCTAAGCTAAAGAAGTATCAACATCTCCTTCAGAGGAGCTAAATATAAGAACTTCAGAGTTAGTTCCCAAAGACCACGCAGACTCTGGCTATGTGGGAAAATAAATCAAATTATGGTGCCATCTCTAATGGGAAACAGAGGCAATCTCACCACAGACTTGAAGAAATACACAGGCACATTTTCAAAAACTAAATAGGGCATTTAACAACCAACAAAAACAGAGAGCTCGAGCTCAACTTCAAAACCATGCTGGCAGAGAAAGATGAAAAAAGTTCTCCTAAATGGGCTGAAATTCTTTATTTTGCTTGTGCTCCTTGCCAATAATGTTAATACACAGCATGCCACCCGAGCAAAGACTAGTCCCTATTTAACATTTAATTTAGAAACATGCTGCACACTGGACTACCACGCTACAGACCAGAGAGTAGGCATTTCACCTTTTTTTGTTGTTGTTAAAACAAAACAATCAGCTAAGGAAATAATTGTGTGTCCTCTATTACATTTCAAAAAGAATGATGCCATGTAATAAAAACTAATTCTTTTGCAAGCAGACGTAGGACAAAAGTACTTGTATAGTTACCAGGAACAGCAAGAAAAAAAAAAAATAGCCACAGTGTATTTAATGGAGTCACCGATTTAATGAATCTCTTTCATAATTCTCTTATTTTAGCTACTGCTCTTAACACAAACACTGCAGGACAGAACCATAACACTTTTCCTAAAGTCTCTACTAGAAAGTGTGAAAATAGGTCTTAGGGGAACAGAAGATTAGACAATATTTTGTTAAAGAATGAAGAAAGACATACAGCCTCCTTAGGGATTAAATTTAAAAGCTCAACACTTTCCTGTAATACACATTCCTTGCATGAGTCAAGCAAATACTTTCAATGCAGGAGACACAACGTGTTGTCTGCGTACAGAATGTATCTATATGAATATTAGCTCATACAAGCCCCAAGAAAGGACAAAGCAAGGTGAACAGCATTAATGCCTGCCCCCTAGTGACAAATTTTCTAAACAAAGAAACTGGAATTGGGAGAAAATCTTCATTAGAAGATACAGCAAGATTTCACATAAACTCAATCATAAATGTTTGGAGAGAAATAGTTAAAAAAAACAAGCAAAAGGCTTCTACTACCCATGGAAACCCATCCCTCCTAAATTCCAGGGAAGATCACCGAAGATCATCCAAACATTACATCTGAAACATACTGAGGTCACACCCCTGGTCAGTTCAATTTAATTTCTTCTTTAATGTGCACTACAACGTAGGTTTTTATTACAAAAATACTATTTCTGTGCTTCTGTCCATCTTCAGTGAGCAAAACTGGTGGTGCACCAGGAAGGCCCACACACAGGCTTGTCGGGAAGCAGGGCTACGCCTACATTAGCAAGTGAGGCAACACTCATTTTATGTGCAGCGGCACACATTACAGACACGCTCCTGATCCTAACTGAAGCAGCAGGACTCCCAGGGTGGCCTGCACAGCAATGCTCAGGAAGGTTAGCTCTACAGGCAAGCTTTGCATTCATTAAACAACATTCAGAGGTTAGGAAATGCCAGAAACGGACCTTTTCCAAATCTAACTCATTTCCCTCAGCACATAATCTGTGAGTAACCCCAAAAGACCAATCCTGAATTCTGCTGCTAATGATTTTGGCCAGATTCTGGCAGAAGTGCATAAATACAGTTAAAATAAAACAAACTAAATTATGCTAAAAGTAAGAAAACTAAACTTTCCCAAGCCTTCTTGCTCAAATTTGGCTTGTCGTTGAGGCAAAGGATTGCAATTCCTTTGCTCTACCTGAATCAAACTGCAAAAAATGCATTTTCAATACTAAAAGCACTAGTAGAAAATACATCTTTTTAGATACAAGTGTCACTCTATGTAACTGGCTGGTTAGAAGACAACTAGTTTGTTTTAAAGGAAAAAAAAAAAAAAGGCCACTATACATAAACCAAAGAGCAGTTAAGGAAGGAAAAGGCATTTCACAAATACCTAGTTTCAGGTGCACAAAACAGAAAACACAGTAAAAATTACAAGTTCTACTACAAGATGCACTAGGACACCCCAAAAGTCCTAGTAACAATATAGGCTGTAAGTGATTTATTGCAGGACACACAAAAGGACCTAACAATTCCCAGAGGTGATGTTCTGACTATCAGAACAGACAGAAGGGGAGCATAAATAATCTGAGAAAGCTTAACTATTTTTATTCATACTCTTGCAGTTACACACAAACAGCTTTGCTCTATGGGTCAGTCAGGCTGCTAACTTTCAGAAGCACTGAATTCAACATGATAATGCTGCCTTTGACCCCTCCTCTCCAATTATTTTGCTCTACAAAATCTACTCTCCGTGGATTTAGAAACAGATAGGTTACAATCTGATATTTCTAAAAGAGGCATGTTACAACGCAAGCAGTCTTGACCACTAGCAGCTAATTTTGACAACAAACCCTAGAAGAAAAACATCACCTATTTGGTTGGAAACCTTACATTAGAAACTAATACCTGCAATATGCCTAACTCATATAAAACAAAAATTTGCTCTTCTCAGATGGAATTATGTCCTTAGTCTCTCCTCCAGCTACTAAACAAAATTAGGCAATAGCTTTGTCAGACTTCTTCCAGTTAATAGAACTAGGCTATTAACAGAAGCATACAAAAAGTACAACTGTTCCTGCTTATTTTACTCAGCAGACCACTAATGGTCCTGAACAGTACAAGGAGGTAGGAAGTATAACATGGAGCCACCAACTCTAATACTCAATGGGAAGGGAACAGCAGCTGTAGAAGTCTGGATAAGGACCGGTCAGCAGCTGCTTTTAAAACCAGTAATGGCATCATTTGTATATAATTGCTTTTGTGGAAGAATTAGGAATAGGTATGAATGAGATCAGAAAATTATTTGAGCAACTTCATGCAAGCAGCAAGGATTTTTCACTTTGCAGGAATTAAGACTATCTCCTGATCAGAGTTTTAAGTAAATGAAGGCTCAGGTCTTAAGCCTTTCTTTTAAATTGAGCTGCAGTGCTGTCAGCTTTTTAAAATGTAAAAATCAGGTCATCTTAAAATTGGACTTGTTCCAGAACTCAGAACACAGGATGAAACTCCAGCTATGTAATTGGCAGTAATTTTCATTCAGTTAGGAAGACTTTGATAGCTGAAAACCATCCCTAGTTGTCCCATATTTCTACACAAGCAAGTCCTTTCTTTCCCCTTCTACGCTTTCTCTCACATTGACTTTGTAATACTCAACTCTTTTTCTAAGGTAATTAATTTTAAAGTATGAGAGTTAGAGTAATACCCAATGATCACCAAGTACAGGCTCAGTTTGGAATACATGATGTCTTCAAATACACACCTGTCTTCCAAGCCTGACAAAAACACTGGATCCTGTCAAAGTTGTCTCCCTCAAAACTCATCTCCTCCTTTATTTTACGATGAAATAACCTTATAGTCTACATAACACACCAATACTATGTACTGATCACTTAGGGATCCACTCGCATGTAGAAAGCCAGAGCGAATTATAAAGTATTTTCTTTCCATTTTTTAATACAAACAGAGCAGAACTAGTGCACATCAGCCAAACCTGGCCCGCATATAAAATGAAATTGAAGTCAGAAGTTGTTTTTTTGTTACTTTTGGGTTGTTGGGGGTTTTTGTTTATTTGTTTAAGAGTCATATAGACTACAATTCCTTTTGGCATTTTACAATTTCTCAATAGCTATGTAAAGCTTCTGCTTTAAATATTACATTTATTTTCCAGGGGCTTTCAATTAGACACCCAAAAAGTTTATTCTTTAAACCCTTGTAACAAGACAGTCTTGGGGCCCTATAGTTTTTATTTTGTGAAATCAGAGGCCTATGTTGATAGAAATCACACACATCCTTACCAGCTGTTAGTATGGTTTTAGCACTCTGCACTATACTGGAAGATCTCACAATTCCCGAAATACCTGCAGATAGAAAAGCACACAGATGTTACCCATCTTAGCAGTTTTGTGGGGATTCTTTATTCTCCAACATACACAAAAAAGTTAAATATTTTTCCAGTTATACAATCAAGCCAGCCTGAAAGTAAAACATACACTTAAGCTGAGAAAGTTTCTGTTCTGCTTTGTCATACTAATTGAAAATATTCTCTAAGCTATTTTAAATTATTTTATATATAACACACAACAAAAAAAAACCCGAATCAATATTAAAACAGATAACAACCAGTAGGAACTGATCAAATTAATTTATTTAGTGTTCCCATTATTTCTCTAGTAAGATGATTAGTCACAAAGGATTCAGAGTTGTTTCATTTAAGTGCTGGCATATTAACTTTCTATAGAAGAACAAATTATACTCATTGTTTACTTCAACGTGAAGTTGGGATTTTGCACTTCTCTGATCAAGTAGAGATACCTATACGGTGCTGTGTTTGTCTGGCTTTAAGTTATCAGCTTTTGGAGATAAGGCTTGTTTACCACTTTGCACTGTGGCACATTCAGTTCTCATCATCCAGTGGTTCTTAGGTATTAACGGAATAGTAAATAAAACATTAAAACTTTTTTTGAAAAGTACTAAGTTTTAACTGTTCTAATGCATATATATAAAAGCATAGTGATATGTGCAGAACAAAACTACTGTACATTATTAAATACTTAAAAATGTAGAAATGCAGCAGTCCCAGAGTTAGTCTTCCAAACTAAAGTTATTCTTCTGCATTCACCAGAACATAGAATATAATTTCAAATATTATTTTTAGATCCTTCTTTCAAAGCTATTTCTATAATGAAGAACAAAGCTTAGGGAAATCCATGAATAAGTAAGACCGACACAACATTCCACCAGAAAATAATTTTGGGGGGTAGGGGTGGGGAGAGGAAGTGAACAAATCACGTTGAGCTAGTAAAATACCTAGGGACAATGCAATTCAACTTGAGTAATCAGCTTTGTCTTGTAGGATCACCAAATTGCTTGTCCTGTCCTTTACACAGATTCTCGAATTAGGAAAATCTTTCGGCCACAAAAATGAAAGAGGGGTTTTAATTTGTTCTCCTCAGAGTATAAACTGCTGGGCCTGAGAAGACTAGATCTAGCCAATGTTTTGGTACTGAACTGCTGCACCACTCCACACAGTCCAGAGTCACAGCTGTGCCTACACAAATACAACCGCAAGAATAGTTAGCTCAGGGTGGACAACTCAGAGCTCTACAATTATACACAACTCACAATCACTGCAACTCCGCTCCCACATTCAGCTATTATCACATCACTATCGCAGTCCAGCCATAGTAGCATAGAAGCTGTCACAGACTGACATGAAAGAAGCTGGACACCTTGATGCCCAGGTGCAATTCATCCCATTCTGTCAAGGGAGAACTGCAGCTCTCAGGAGCTTTATTTCCCCAAAGAGAAATCAGCACAAGAGCTCCCTCAGCAGTTGGCTAGTGTCTGTGGCTCTCAGGCATCTAGGGAGTTTTTGCTGTGCTCAAGGAGCCTGCAAAATTGGCCACCTGGAACTAAGATGTGTCAAGTTCTTTAAAGATGTAAAGAACTCTTCAAGTACTAAACGTTCACATTTTTCTGCAGAATAATAAAACATTGATGTCTGCAGCATAAGCTTTAACTTGCTTATACAACATTATCTTGCCTCAGAGAAGCTATCTGTGATGATGAGAAACACCTCAATCTTTTTCCTCACAGCCCGAGTTCTCTGCCAGTGCTCACGTATCTGGACTAACTATGAAAACTGGGAAAGGTAACATCAGCAAGCTGGAAAATTAACTTAGCATTGCAATGTATGACTGGTAGTATATACAGCTTAGAATTCAGATGAAGTTAAGCCAGCCAATGAAATTCTGAAGATGTAAGACTGTATAACTCTGTTTAGGATGCTAAGTAGGCCATACCAATTCCTAAAGACTACTTCTTTCAGAATTCAAAACAAAACATATCTTTCTATATCAGTAGGAATGCTATTTGCTAGTATTTCAGAGAACCTGTTGGCAATCAAACAAATCCAAAACCATGCTTTTAGGAATGTCTCTCAACACTAACCTCTTGTTCTCTTCTTCCTTCTCTCCAAATCATCTTCTGAACTAGAAGAACATTTACAAACAATCTGTATATCTATCATGTCTTCAAGGAGATTACAGACACTGATCTAGGCCTACCTTGATGCACCACAACTCCACAGTCAGGGTCATGGGCAACTTGCAGTAAAATTTCTTCCACATCTCTGTTTTTTCCAGGAGGGTCTACCAGAGAAGTTATCTTTTGTTGCAGGGTCCTTGGCAAAGCCATTAGTTGTGTAAATTGACCTTCTGGACTTTTATCAATCTGAATGTTATAAAAAAATAAGACAGTAAAAACATTCAGTGTTAATAAAGTAAGTTCTCTTTTCAAATAAGTCAGAAAAGTCTTTTGGCTTTCTTTGACCTCTGAGAAAGATCTCAAAGAACATGATCCATTTCACTTGTAAAAGTCTCTGACAATGCCAATGAGAACTTCCCAAGCACTGGGAAATGCAGTATCTCAGTTCTGAACCTGAAGAATAACTCAGTGTAAAGATGTTCATTTTTATCCAGAGGAAGACTAATGTACACATATGATCTTGCTGCCTCTGCAAGCAACTTTTCATTGAAACTGTATTATTTCTGCTCTATCCAATTTCCTTTGGAAACATAAGTATGCTACAACGAAAAAAAAAGTTCCCAAAAGACCACTTAGCTTAGTTTCTTCTGCCTGAACATAATCAAACTATACACATACACATTTCAAGTTAGTTTGAAAAACATTTTCTCTGCTTTAAACTCAAACCACATCTGGTTTGTATAATTTGAAGGAAACATTCATTCCATGTTTTTCAATCTAAATCAGAAATTCAATGACCCTTTTTCAAATACAATGATACCAATGTGCAGGCCTGTACACATTTCTACAAAATGTAAGCACAAATACTGAAAAATGCATAATGAGCAGATCTCTCCAAAACTAGAGGAAAATATGAAGAGCTCGATGCCTCCCACACAACTTTTTAGACAGTTCACGGAGACATCAGACAGGAGTCTAGTTGCCCTATACACTCCCTTTAGTCAATGGAGAGAAAATGATATCCAGATGAATCACCCACTGACTACAGAGAGAGCCGACAATGAGCAGGCTCTTTACATAATGTGGGAGGAATCCACGCCTGAATCAGAACCACAAGAACTAGTGTCTGCCTTCAATTGTTTTTTTGAGGAATCTTTTAAGAAAGAATTTTCTCTATAACTCTGAAGACGTATACTTGGAGAAGGGGTTTCTATTCTATGTTAAACAGGACTCCTCATAGCAGTTATCTTCTTCAATCTGGGGAATAACTGCCAATAAACAGACCAAGGTGCGAGGAATACATTATTAAAGCACTTTGCTAAAAATCAACCGTATAATGATGGCATTTAATCAACAGCCTTGATGACTATTATGGAATTACGGACAGACTTATTATCCAACAACATATTTGTAGTATGCTACCAGGATTTGTTTAAAGGTAACATGACAGGGAGTATTATTTTAACTAGCCATTTTCTTGGAGAAAGCATTACTGATTCTTTTCAAAATTAATTTAAATAATTCTTCCACTAAACTGTTCAAAAGCATATTGATAAGAAAACATAGAGGCAGCTCCAGTATAATACAGATTCGCCTACGCTGTACTCCAAAGCGTTGCAGTAAAATTGTTTACTGTACTAAGCTTGCTTATATCTGTACTTCAGTTTCTAACAAAGACACGTCCTAAAAGGAGGCATTCATGAGATAATCACCAACGTGACTTGAGGATAAAGAGATACCTACGTCCATGAGACAACTCATGCTATTTGTGACTTCATGTTGAAATGCGTATCACGCTTGAACATTCACACACGGACATGCATACTGCAAGAGGAAAAACTGCTACTGGATCCCCGACTGTGGCACCTCTCCCCTAATTGCAATGTTACACTCGTGCCAGAAAGATGGAATTCAAGATACTGGTCCTTTCTGATACCTTTTTCCCAAATACTAGGGAAAAATTGTTTTAGTACGGGTATTTAAAAATAATACCAGAATTTCATTTGGGTTTAGTCAACTGATCTTCATAACTAGCAGACTAGAGGGTTTTTGTGAGATGCAGTTTTTGATCACAGAAAGTTGCACCTCTAAGTTATGGCCTAATCTTTTTAACACAAACCATATGTTTATTCATCACTTCTAGACTGTTGTTTCCATACGGTAGTCATTAGAACATGTTTTGAAATGATCTTCTCTTGCTCAGGCTCTAGTTCTGTGCCCATACTCAAAGAAAATGAACAGTAGTTACTACATATGCAGAGACTGGTATTTAAGGCAAGTCTTCTGGTTGCAGAATTAACTAAACAACAGAAACATAACAAATAGCAAGTACAGTGTCTAAAACTGCTTGCCTTAGTGTATGGCATAATTCTTGCTTTCTGTCAGTGTGATAAAGCACTTCCACTTGCTTATTTTAAAAATGTTTTGAAGAACACCACTTGCCTCTAGCCTTCCCAGATGGTGCTTATATACCACTTGAGGGCAGTCCTGTAATATGTTACTGTACAGCTTCTGAAAATGGGGAACATTAGGTTTCACTATGTTCTGCACTTTCGATCTGTCTTCTCCTATTACCATTCTGAAATCACCTAGTCAAGAAAAGAAAAACAGTTCATTCATTAGGAAAAAACTGGAAACTCAAAGGAGAACATAACAGAAACAAACATAGTACAAAGCCGTCATCTAAAACTTCATTCTCCAATTCTACCAATGCCTATATAATTCACAATAAGGTTCACCTTCTAATGGACGAAAAATACTATTCAAATACCTTCAAGCACAGACAATAAGATTCAGAATTGTTATGTGGCCTCTGATATGCTGTAATGTCATCAACCCATGTGTTCACATTTTCACTTGGGCAACAAAAAAATGCCAGCTGTCCAAATTCAGCCTCCAAAGCAGCAGTAACACAGTTATGTTCTTTGCAACCATACATCAGTTTCGACAGATTAATAAACAGATTGACGAGCCCCAATACTTTGTATCCAGAAACAAATAACCTTCAATTTTCCAATACCGAAAGAAAATAATTTGCATTGTCTCTGCACTTCAAGGGCAGTACCTGACGTATAGCTAATGGCAGTCAAGGTAAGATCACAGTATCACTTTTTCCTCTTAGCCACATATTTTGTTAGTAGTGTCAAAAAGCAACTCCTTTTAACACCACTGTTACATTATTAACCTTTACACTTTCTTTTACGATAAATGACTGAAAAGTTTCAAAGAGAGTAAGTGAAAGGACAGTCTGTAATAGACCATTCATCTACCCCTATTAGGTACTACCTTGGTAGCTTCCAGGGTTACCAACCAGGAGTTAGAGGCTCAGCGCAGCACATATCAACAAACAAAATCCTTAATCAATTCATTTTCCTCACTTCCCACATTCAGGAGATACATGTTGTTTCAAGGTGGCAGCTTGCTAGCATTACTTAGTTTATTCCAATTTATGCCAAGCCACAAAACAAACACTTCCCATGTAAATGGTACTGACTCCCTGCTCTCAAAAAAATGCATTAAAAAAAAAATAAACGCCAAATTAAAGCATGAACAACTCTTTTCAGCAGCCTCCAAGGAGACTGATTAGACTAACATAAAAATCAATTTTGTCTACTAGTATACCCTCTGAAAAGTTTAAGACTTAACAAAACGGCAGCAAAATAAAATATCCACAAACATGTCATCGACAGCCTTTTTCTTGAACATTCCCAACTGAGAGTCTTGTTGCTTTAGCTTTGTTCACACAGCGGAGCCAATTCCAACATCTTATAGCATGGTAACTGATCTCCCACGTTTTTGGTTAATTGCACTGTTTCAAAGGACATGTAAAAAAGTGTCTGGGTCACTAGTGCTCACCAAGAATCTAATGACGTTCCTGGACAGGTTTCAGGTGGGCAGGTATGCAGCCCTGTAGCAAACATCCATGGTTAGCAACCAACCCTTAGCCATCCCACTGTCACTACCCTCTTTACTGTCACTACCCTCTTTACTGTCACTACCCTCTTTACTGTCAACAGATAATGACTCAGAAAAAACTGCTAAGGAAAAGCTGGTCAAATTGCAATCTAAACTAACCAGAGAAGTACTACGCAAAGGACAGTAACACTCCTGAGCAGAACCAAGCTGCAGCTTATCAACCCTACCTGCCTACCTGTGCTTTTTTTTTAAAGCCAAACTTGCATTTCTATATGAGCAAAGAAAGTGCTGTGTGAAGTACAACTCCAACCAAACTTGTTCATAGTGATTTCATTAAGGATTTCAACATTTAAAGAGCAATGCTGAACTAAACTGTAACAATTAAATCTTGTATTGAAGAGTCATTTGGAGTAGCTTCTTAACTTTTTTTCCATACAAATTCATACCAATTTCATAACTAAAGAAAGGAGGAAATCCTCTCACAAAAAAAAAAAAGTCAACAAATACCAACCAGGAGGTATTAAATGTACATTACAGAATTATAATCTGGATCTTTAAGTTAACTAAATAAGAACCTTAAACACAGCACATTGAAAAAGTAAGAGATAACAAAGCATGGGTCAGACTATCAGATGAATCAACATTACACCGAGAGTGAAAAGAAAAATTTTTTTCCAAGGTTTTGAACCATTAAAACCAAAATACAATCTGTACAAACAGAAAAAAAACCCAAAACGTTATTTCACCATATTCAATCACCCATACTTAGCTGTTCATAAATCAAGCAGGTATAAGAAGTTTTGCTTATGTACCCATACCTATTTTCTATGAATAAGCACAATTAGTCTTTCCAAGCTGTTACATAACACAGCAGTAAAATATAGTTATTGGAGCATGCAACAGTGTAGGCCCAAAGCAAGAGCGCAGATGACAACTTATACATTAGACTTCCTACTGTGGTACAACAGCTCCAACTACAGCTTTTCTCCTCAAAGACTTTAGACACCATTACTAACCAGAATAGGAGAGTCCTGCAATCTGCATATAGAGGTCTTCTTCAGAGAAACTTTCTGGTAACATGAGAAAGGCTGCTGTGACTGCACTCTTCAGATTGCTAACAAGAGCAGCTTGCAGCTTGCTATTCTCATTCTGTGTCAGTATTTTCACCTGAAAAAGCAGAGTCATTGGAAGCGAGACTTCAGGAAAGTGCTACTGAAAACAGAGCTAGAAATGTTACTCAATCCAACATGAAAAATAAATCAGAAATTTATTTAAGATTAGATCCTGTTATTATGGTACAATAAAGACTAGCGTCCCCTTTTGTTTACACAGTGGGAGAGAGAGGAACATCTTTTTTAAGAACTAACAGCCTGCTACAAAAGGCTGTTTTTACAAACACATTTGGAATTGCTATAAGCCACAAAACAAACACTTCCCATGTAAATAATTGTTAACTCTGTTAATGAAGGAAAAAACCCAACAACCCAGAATCAGTAAAGAAAGTTAAGAGAATCAGACATATCTTTGACACAAAATTCTTCTTATAGAAAGGACATTGACAAAGCAATGTCATGGCTGGCCAATACTGTATTCAGAACATAATTTTTAATTATGGTGAAATCTTTAAGAGGGATAAAACTAGAACAATATCTCATTTTGATATGGTGGTGAATGCAACAGCATACAGGCTGCTTGTTTCAATCGTTCCACACTAAAGCCTGGGTTTGCCTAACATCAAATCTATACAATAATCTGGAATTGGTCCAGGGTGGATTTTTGAAAGATGTTTTCCCTTCTTTGATTTTCGTTTTAAAAATAACAAGTTCACTGTACAAGCGAACATTTCAGAATTCCTCCTAACTTCTCCTGCAAATTACTTTGTATTTTTTAGCATAAAATGAAAGAGAATGATAGAACACACTAAAATACAATACATTCATCTGCCAGGGAGCCTAGAACAAATTTTATTTCCTTGAAAAACATGGGAGAAGTTTACTAAATACATACAGACGTGCTCAAATAAGATCCAATAAACAAGACAGGCTGGTCATGAGGATAAACTAATATTTAAAATCTCATCAAGTAATTCACTTATATATACTTTCATTACTTGATGCTACAGGGAAACTCTAAGGAAAGACAGAAGAGAGAAGTCTGTGGCACCCCAAGCAGTCATACGCAAACTGCTTATACCTTAGGCTAGCCCTGGAAATTACAGCAAGTTATGGACATGTTTTAAGAACACCACAGTTACAGCCTTTTAAAACGTAAAACTCAGCAGAGATGCTATTCCTCCTCATGGAAGACCACAGACTTGCTTTAGTGAAGTAAAAGGAATAATCTTTTCCTTTGCTAAAAATACTCCCTAACACAAACCAGATTTTTTTCAAATGGAAATAATATGCTAGGCTTCAAAATTTAAACGCATGAAACACTGCAGTAGCGATACCATTTATGAACAAACTCTAAACAGTTCAGATAGCTAGAAATCTTCCAGGAAGACAGAGTGCAATAGTTATCACCAATGTATGACAAGGATGAATGTTGATTCTTGGGGTAAGTCTGAAAGACGACCAAAGTTAAGGAAGGCTTCTTCACAGTACAGAGATCTTTTGATCAGAACTAGTCATGGTACCGTATCACATAAGGGGGAAAGAAACAGCCAATTTATTCTGGTTCTACAGTATACAGAGAATTCAGTTAACTAGCAGTACAGTTGAGACTTTAAAATTATTAATTTGAAGGATATATTCAATTTTATAAATAAGCATGACCAACAGTCATTACAACAGTTTAAAGTAGGAAATGTACTACCTTCACTACTAGGAAATTCATACACAAGAAACTGCAGGCATGTGTACACAGAGATACTTACAGACAAACAAAATACACAAAGAAAATCTCATTATAGAATGAAAGGTATCAAAAGCACTATTCCAGTTTGCCATTTAGCCACATTCACCTCTGCTAAATATCATAGTAAGAGGATTTTTCCATTCTCTTTCAAAAAAATGTTTTTACAGATTTGGGCAATGGAAAAATTCTGTATTATGTGCTCTGTCACTCCTTCATGGGAATTTTTATAACATAAAAAACCTAAACCTCCCAAGACCTCTCTAAAAAGTACAAGATATTTCTCTACACTATTCACTCTTTCTCTCACCTCACTTCAATTTATTAAACACTTCCTTCTCTTAATAGTTTCTTCAGGACAACAGTAAGTACAGCTGCTTACACTAAAGCAATTACTTACACTCTATGTTTAACAAAAATTCAGTAACACTTCAGATGCTTTTTAAAATCTTCTTCGTCTGAAAACCAGTTCTGTGTCACTTGTGATTATTTATTTTATTTTTTAGGTACAGCAGCATTTTTTTTTCCCCGGAAACCTGTCAGTTATGGAGAAATTACAACTAAGTTTATTCAAATTTTCAATACAGTTAAATGGGAATTTAGCTGATCAGCATTATAAATGTCATGTGGGATGAAAAGCCAATAAACTTTTAACACAAACAAAGAAGCCTGGGAAGAAAAGTTAGCATTTCTAAGTGGCAATTCCAAACTCCATCTATTCTGCCAAACATTCTGGAAAAATTACTTGGTCAAGGCAACCAGTTTGTAACAGAAACAAAACCTCCAGTGCAAATTGAGCCAAGATTTTCAAGCCAGAACAAGTGTTTTAGCTCATGTGCTAGAATAGCTTGGATAAAGCTGTCACTCTGAGTGAAAGCTTTGTAATGGAACATCAGAAAGGCACTGGGCTCTTCCTCCTCTATACAACAGTGAGGAGGAAACTCCCAAACAAACTGTTAAACAATATTAATCTGGTTCCAGTCAACCGTGTCCAGAACTAGCACAAATGGCAAATGGTATGTAAGAGATTATAGTGTATAAGAAAACAAACCTAACCCTGTGTCCCCTCCAAAAACAGCTTATTGTACATTTTTAAGGAGGTAAAAAAAGCTTTCAATCACTACCACTTACAACATACATATCAAAACATCAAATCAGTTGTGAAGTCAGAACCAACAGACATTTGAAACCAGTATAACAGATCTAAACAAATTATTTGGTCATTTTTGGTCAACACTGTATAACATTCAAAATCCTAGTTAGTGATTTTACAGATTCTACAGGAAGAGACAGTTTAAACATTCACCAGGTTATCATTTGGTCCAATTCTAGTTTAAGTCCTGCAGACTTGGCTCAATGCAAATTCCTGTGAGCTTTATGAAAATAATCTGGACTGATTTCTTCTTTTATCTATTAAACACACATGCAATATCTCCACTGTCTTGTTAGCAACCAAACAAAATACTAAATTCTGCCTTCTTGTGCAAGTAGGTACTCGCATTGAATTTAATGAAAAGATAACGAAGCACAATTCATATATGCTAGGATGAAAAATCTTAAAATAAATCAAAGCAGCGGCAAATGCAGTTACACTGAAAATACATATTCAGTATTCATTGTTAACGTGAAATTCAGAATTCTTCCTTCAGTTATTTTTCTCAATGTATTAAGTTTCATTCTTTATAAAGATAACAGCCGTTCTAACCTGTATCATGCTATAATACATCCCTGGAGATAGACAAAAGCCAGTAGTGCCGAGGTAATCAAACTTTCACCCCAAATTTTTAGTTAAAAGCATAATTAACTTCTGTTCTAAGATTGGAACAGAGTTCTCCTCTCCTTCCCTCTTAAGAAATTTTAACTCAGCACTGCTGCCATCTGCTGAAAGCACACTAAATCAGACACTCACAGGAAAGCAAAGACATCACATTTTTTATGACACAAACATGGAGGAGAAAAACCAACATACTTAACACATGGTTTGGTCAGTTACAGATATTTTAACAATACAATGAACTAGACAGTAACTGCACAGAAAAGCAGCTTTCATCTTTAAAGATTTTCATTATTTAACTGTATTAAATTTTGGTGACTCCTATAATTTGTTATAAAAGGTAAATGTGCATTTAACATTAAAGGGACTTTGAGTTAATATAGTCCAGTTATTCAAGACTTACTACAGGAAGAAAACTGCGATTAATATACTTACCTTTAGTTTCTTTTTTCACATAACACAGAATATGTGTTACATTTCACTTCCTTTCTGAGAGATTATCCCTCTAGGACTAGACCTCTAAATCAGGGCAGATTATTTGTTCAGTACTGACGCATAGATCCTTAACAGTTAAACTTAGAACTACAATTGATAATTTTCCAGCCCTGTAATTTCCTGTATTTCAAGACAGATAACTGAACAGACTAACAGTTACCGGTTTTTGTAGGCGTCCAGCGACATAGAGGGTTTTCCAGTGAAGTAAATCATCAATCAGGGTATCAGTGCTAATTACACCATATTTTATCATCTGGAAAAAAGCAAAATAAAGGCTTTTGAAAAACCATACACCTGCACCATTTTTACTATATGAAACTTACTACTTACTATAACTGCCATTAATTCTAAGGAACACACACCTCCAATAAAAAACTGGATGCATAACATTAAAACATTCTAATGTTTTAATAAACACAAGAGGTAAAAAAAAAAAATTCCTATTCACATGCAAACTTCTAAAAAAAAAAAGTGGAACAGGAAGATGCACAAAACCCTCTAAGATCCTTTCTAGAATCAAAGTTACAATAAAGTCACCCCAGGTTCAATTCCTAAAGCAAAAGACTTTAAATGCCAAAGAAGCCTAGTCTGGACAGCCATTGACACTGAAGAGATCTGAACATTAAAATACAACTGTTCATAAAAAGATTTTTGGAAGGTTATGATCAGTTTTGTACCAGTCAAACATTACAATAGTTGGAAAAATCCACAGTATCCTTTATGATCTTGAAAACCTCAAGAAATAGTTTGTCAGAGATCTAAAAGAAACAAAACTTCTAGACATTTATGTGTACCGTTATTGAGGGGTAGGGCGTGTATCGGAGAGCTTTTTCTTTTGTTCTTTGATGTTAGAAAACAAATTGTGATTTTGTAGTTCATTTTACGTAACTGGAAAAAAAGATGAACTTTCAACAGTTTGTTACCAATTTGCACTTCCTGAGTTTCCAAAGATTATCAACACAGCAAGGCAGCCAACTCCAGAATTTCTGGATAACAAAGGACTATAGACTGTGATCCAACCGAGCCATTACAGCATGAGATAAGAGCATAAAGAGCCAAGAAGAATAGAATTTCATAGCAAAGATCATTGGTCCTTAAAATAAAATCTGAAACCCCTGTTTACATAAAGTGAACAAGGTTTAAACCCCAAATTCTTGCCTCATACAGATGCCTTTAAAAAAAATAGCAAGTACGTGATAGAGTACTTTATCTACCTCTCCAACTTTCTATGAAGAATTCTAACATATACCCAGCATTACTGCAACGACGCATGCTCTGAGAAACTTCAGTTAGGCATATATTCCTCACACGACATTTTTCCATGACTGTCCTTCATTTAGTTTCCCATCTTTCTTAAAAGAACTTGCTTTCCCTATGTACAGTTTGTTACCACATGGCAAAAGTTACTCAAAATCAACACCAAGACAAACAGATACAGTGCTTCCCTCCCCTGACTCCTGCCTGCACTCCTCATCACCAAACACGGTCTACAACAAGATGCAGGAGTGGGAATTGCTGGACAAGTACTACTTACCTAGAATTATTAATCATACTCAAGCTTCACAGGTCAGGATGTTAGCCATTGAACAACACAAATGTCAATTCCAGCTTCCTATATTAAATATTTGCATTTTATGTCTAACAAACAGTAAGAATCCACTTTGCTATTATTACATGGTCAGCTGCTGAAAATAAGGCCCTGTTTCCCCATGATACACTTTACAACCACCAAAACTGGCAAACGGCAAGTAATAAAGAATATAAATTCAGTTTCTGAAGTGCTTTAGTTGTAAATTCCAAACATTGCTCATGCTTTTAAAGTGCAAGAGCAGCTGCTCTGTTTGCTTTTTAATTAATGTGCTTTGCGAAACAGTTTGAGACATAAATATTGAAGGTAACAGTTACGATCTACAAGATTTGCTTCCTGCACAGAAATCTACTTTAAGCTAATCATGTCAATACTTCACACACAAACATTTGACTTAATTTACTCAAACTACTTGTACTTACCCTACCATTACATGGCACTAAAGTATTGTAGTAAATCCCTGCTCCATAGCTCTGTATACCACTTATCTGTTTTGGCCCAAAAACTTTTAGGAAGGAATAATGACTCCTGTTCTTTAACAAGTTCATCATATGCCAGGTCACAGAATCATCAACAGCAAACACAAAGTCCAGCATATTGTTCTGTGGATAAGGAGAAAAGTATTGGGGTTTATATGTCAGGAAGTAAGCGATGTTAATCATATTAATCTAAGATATACATAGCGTTGAACTAGCAGCTAATAATTTTTCGCGAGTAAAAAAAAATAAAGTCAAAACACAAACATTAATGTCAAATACAGTTTAAATGTTCTGATGACGTATGTTTTCTAGTTAGTCTAGCAGAGATGGTCCAAAATTTTCCTGTCCTCCTGGTTAAGTGACCAACCTTCAACCCTCTGAAACGGGAGAGCACGTGATGAGATCTTCATCATCCTAGTTCACAGCTCAGCATAACAGCTTAACCTGCTAATGAACAGGACTTTTGCTAATATACGAGGCCATGCATTGGGAGATGTGGGCAGATAAAGTCAGCTCAGAGGTGGCAGCAAGAAACTGCACTTCTAGTGTCGTCACTTGCTTTTGTCAACAAAACAATCCATCCGAAGAAATCAATCCACACATTCCCAGCAGACAGATAAGATGACAATTTACAACTCGTGCCTACAACAAACTAATATTTGGAGTGACATTGCTTCAAATTCATTAGGCCTACCTCTCTCTGTGGCTTACTAATTCTGGGCTGCATCTTAGCTAATCAGTTAATACTACTAAAAAGACAATCTGTTAGCTACTTTTTTCCCCGATTCTTTTGTGTGAGGACGAGACGCTGTTAGAGCTCTGAAATTCTTATTATCCTGTTTTTCTCTTTTCAGAAAGCAAAATGAGACACGTTTAAAGACACATTTGTGGGGAGTGCTTAACAGGCAACCCATAACGAGCAATACTGACTATTAGCAATTTTTAAAAGGTCAAACACATACACACACAAACAACAACAACAACAAAATCACTATTTCCAAGCAGATTGACCCCCAAACGATGAGGAAGCTCCAAGAATGCCACTGAAGTGTGGCAATGTATTTCGCCTAAGTTACCCCCCCTCCCCGGTGCACAGCAAACAGCCTGTCTGGACAAGCTGTAACTCTTTTTTTTTTAAAAAAAAACAACAGTAAACAAGCCCTGACACACAGTTCGCAGACGCAAGGCTAAGAGGGGACCTGAACCCCACACAATTATAAAACGACTGCCAGGGCCCACCCCGCAGGCCTGCCGGGCTGTCAGCAGGCCCCGCAGCTCCGCCTCGGCGCGGACCGGGACACCTGACCCGCTGCTCGGTACGGGGACGGGGGGCTTTCGCCCCTTTTCCTACACAAACCACCTCCACGCCGGTAACCGAAACGCACAAGGCCCACGGCCAGGGCGGCCCTCCTGCCTCCCCCTGCCACACACCGCGGCGGCCCGGGGGCCGCCCCCACGGCCGGGCCCCCCCC